GCCCCGCGACAGCCCTCTGGCAAGGAGGGGCAGGGCATAGGGGGGGCTAAGCCCCCCCCCCCCCACAATAATATTTTCCCCCCACTCCTTATGGACTGAAGTGCTTTAACTAAAACTTATCGAACAAGCTTTAGTTGAAGTGCCCCCATCACTATTTTGAAGTATGGGATACGGAATACACGAGGTGCTGCGAGCACTTAATTATAAGTGCCTCCCCACCCCCAGAACAGATGTAAAGACACCCATACTTATCAGTCATATAACTCTTCACCGATTTCTGCAGATTTAATCATCTGTATCAGCTGACTGCATTAAACCATTTTGCTGTCATTAATATTTTGAAGTGAAAAATTCTAACTTTTCTTATTAGATTATGGGAATTCTTCAATACATCTGTAGTTCTGTTGTCCTCTTCATCTCCCTCAGAAAGAACAGTACCATACATGATTTTCATATATATGTATACTGAGACTGCCCTCAATGATGGTGATCTCTATCACTCGCTCTTCATGTGACTGTCACAACATGTTGCTAGTTTCTATCCCTTTAGATACACACCTTGATGCTGTTTTAGGAAAGTTTATTGCTCAGGATCTCAGGTCTGTGTTATCCTTCTGTCTGATGAAGAACAAATTCTGTAAATAGTGGACCATCCTTGGTGACCATGCTTAAATCTCACAAGGGAGGATTTTGATGATATTTATAGAATCACCCTATTAGGACCTTCACTGATCTTTTGCTGAGAAAAATTTCTTTCTTAATGGCCAGACTAATTAAAATGTCAGATATGACCAACTCTCAATATTAAACAGTTGAGGATGCTACATTTGTCATTGAAACATAGGAGGAAGCAGAAGCAAAGAAACAAACATCTACACAGACATGATTGAAGCCACTTTTAATGAAGGGACCTGTTATTTGTAGCCAATGTAAAGTACTGGGAAATCAGTTTAATTTTATTGAAGGTTTACAAACACTTCACTGTAATGAAGCCATAATAGAGTGTTAAAAGCATTATTCTGCATGGTAAAAGATCAAAATATAAATAAGACATGCACACTAATTTTGAAAAGGTTAATTGAGTGTGATTTCAAAAGTATAAAAATAGGTAATATAAAAACATCTTTCTTCATCTATGTAAATTTCCTCTTTGGATAATTTGGGTGTGCATAATAATTTATTAATATTTTGTGTTATTACTGAAATCAAAAAAAGGAATTTGAGAGAAAACTAAAGGTTTCAAAAAGCCATAGTATGAAGAACTGATTAAAGAAGCAAGGTTATTAACCTTGCTGAACTGATGGCCACTGCTTAAAAAATATTCCTTATGAGTATAGTTTGAATTGTTCTAATACACTGGTTCTCAACTTTTTTAGATTCGGACCAACCCTCCATAACATTTCTGAATTTAGCTTATTCTCAGTTGAGAACCATTGTTGTTCTGCTTTATTTTACCTTAGTAGTTCTCAACCTAGAATTAGAGGGACATGAGACAGTTCCACCTGTTGGTGGCACAGCAACTTAGAGATTTATCTTTGGGTTTCCTGTGTTTCTCCAGAAACCCATGCCCATAGCTCGTGGAAGGTCAGGGATAATGGGGCTTAGCTCCTCCCAAATGTGGCTCCACTGTTCCAGCACCACCACCACACCTCACTGCTGCAGCACCCCACCCAGCTCCCCTGCTGCATGCATCACCCCAACAGCCCAGCAGGAGAGAGGCATGAGGGTCAGGCGGGTGTACCCTGCACTGCCTCCTGCACCTCACTCTGCATTACCTCCCATTCCTCCAACTCCCCCCAAATAATATTTTCTCCTGTCACCTATGGCCACGCCACTGACAGTTGGAACTGTCCAATGCACCTCTCTTTCTAACTTGAGTGTATAGGACCAGACCAGAAAGGGCTGCAGCAGGAGGCCACAGAAGTCTGGTGAGAATGCTCTTCTAATAGATTACATCTTGATAATTATTAAGCCACTGGCATGTATTTAGAATTAAAAAATGTATATCATTTTATATTTCTGAAATCCTAGGAAAAAAATTTAATTAAAGCATCAATTTTTCTTATCTTTCTCTTTGGACTTTAAAAGCATGCTCTGATATAAGGCCTGAAATGATCATCACTGAAAAGCTAGGAAAAAATGTCTATATGTAAAGCATGTAGATATATTGCCTATACTCCTTGTTACTGGAAACTAATGAAACCCCCTGCCTGTCAGCTTCAAAGAGCTTCCAGAGAGAATTATTTTCTTCAGTGTAAGATGAATAGCTGTTAGAATACTAAAAGGTAATATCTAAGGCAAATATGTAGTTGTATATATTATTTATGAAATATTATAATATAGGGAATTTAGTTTGACATTTAGAACTATGTTAGTGCAGTGATGTTTGCAGAACACAGAAGGAAAGAAATCATACCTCTTATTTTTGTGGAAGAAAAAAGTTTAAATTACCAACATAATTTTAAAGAATTACCCTATGCAAACTGAAAATATACAAATATCTATTTTTTCTATGTGAGGGCAAACACCATACAAACCATGCGACTTGCATGAAAAAACATCATATAACATGCAGTTCACATTTTGCCTAAAATCAGTATTCATCAACACAGATTTTTCAGCATCTAGTAGATTAGGACTGTCCAACTGGCAGCCCATAGACTGCATGCAGCCTGTAAACCTGTATCATCTGGACCTCAGACCCCTGCATAAATGCCACTCCTCCCACAAATCCAGCTTCTGCTGCTGGAGTCTCCAGGCTTCCCCTTCATTCTTCATCTTTCACTTTCTGACACCACCCCTGAGGATGATGCAGGGACATGGGTGCTCATGAGAGACTGGGGAGCCCACACTGCCCACATGGTGGAGAAGCGGTCCCAGGAGACATACCTGGCATGCAACCTCCAGCTACTCAGACGTTGTACAGCCCTTTGATAGATTATTGAACTGAAACAGAAATATACAGTCCAAAAGCATAGTCAAAATGGTGGCTAAAAAGCATCTGACCAATGAAACATGAAATAAAAAAAAATCTCTGTAGGAATGACAGCTCTTCGAAACCATCAGGTGAAGTTCTCAGCCATGTTTGTACCAAAGATACCTTGCTCTCCTCCTTTTTCAAATGTTATTCATTTTTTCTTAAGATATTCTAAACCAGTCTGTACATCAGTTGTATTAGAATTAGAATCTATTTTCTCTTTCTTCTCATAACATAGACTTTTTATGTCATTATCTTCAGTCAGGGTTGCTGTCTCCCGGTTTGTCTTCTTTCTCACTCTGTGACTCCAAAAAGTACCCCTTTCCACAGACTGATACCCTACTTTTATCTTCTGTTCCATTTTCCTGAGCTTTGTTATTGTTACGTAACAAGGCTGCAGTTTGTGTATGTCATTGAATCATTGAATTATAAAAAAATAGAAAATGAGGATTGAAAGGAACCTCAAGAGGTCCAATCTCCAACTCAAAGCAGGACTAGCCCCAACTATATCATCCCACCCAAGGCTTTGTCTAGCCAGTTCTTAAAAACCTCCAAGAATAGAGATTCCACAACCTCTCTGTTCCAGTGCTTTATTACCCTCCTAGTGAGAAAGCTTTTTCCTAATATCTAACCTAAATATCCCTTGCTGCAACCTGAGACCACTTGCTCCTTATTCTGTCATCTGTCACCACTGAAAACAGTCAAAGCCTTTGTTTTCCATAGCTATTTAGCCCGATTTTGATAACATTTATTTGCATGGGGCCAAATCCAAATTGGTCTTAAAGGCACTAACATTAGAAAGAGTGATCCCAAATAGTGCTTGGAAGGTGCCCAGGCCCTAAGAGCATGCCTAACTCAAAACAGGAACACTGCATGCAATATGTAGTGCAGCAGCCTCTGGTCACCTTCATCCAAAACCACGATGTTGTGGTTTTATAATGGCCTAGTGCTGGGCTGCCCAACATCAGTGCATCTCCTGTGCTACACACTGTGCAGACCAAACTCTGCAGGAGTGGACCTGCTCGGATCTCTTCTTACCATGCGGACTGCCCAGGTCTCACGTGCCCTTCCCCCCTCACCCTGCCCCACCACCAGTAGCGATAGACATGGCTGTAG